AAGTGATAACTATTTAATAACTATTTGTCCAATGGCGCCAGCCGCCTAATGTCACCGACATCTTCCTTCTGGCATGTTAGCATCAAGTCTAGAATAGACAGGTCATGTTAAAGATGGCATCGTGTTTGAGCATATATACACTGTACAAGTGCGCATTCAAGTAATGTCAGTATGAGTTCCCTGCTGAAACAAGCGTACAAGGTAGCTGATGATAATTTCTCCGAATTAATATGTGATGCATTAAATAATAATAATGTATTTCGTATAAACGGGTAAGCTCATATGAAATGCATGTCATTTTTACAGGTGCGATCACTTAAAGTCACCTACTATCAGACACCTATTTCTGCTACTCCACGTCCTGAGGTGATTTAGTTCGAAGTCGTCAGCTTGGCTGGCAGGACTCCTATAATTAATGACACAGTTAATGACACAGCTTGCGGCTTCACTATTGCCGCTGTCATAAGCTTCCAATAACGCCGATCTAATTCCTCTGTCACCCCGGATGTATAGGGCAACCACACCACCTTTCCGATTAATTACTCTGCTCTGATGCCTAGGTTTGAGTAGAATTAAGTCTGCACCCACTGATAACCATCTCTCAGTGATAGCAGTCACATCAGGTTGCAGTCCTCCAGACAACACTCCTAATTCAGGGAGCTAATTCCTAAGAATACAAGCGTTTGAATAGCATACTGAGAGACCTACGTATTCACTTGACTTATGAACAGAGGTCTGGGCAACATAGATCCCCGAAACCTCACTACCCGAAAACCCGACTGTTTTAGGTCTTTTTCACCTTTTTCTAGTCGGGTGTTTAATTCAGCTACGGCTTCTCTTCTCTTATTTCTATCTTCCAGGGACAAGTCGGGCCTTATTCTTATCTTTTTGTATTTGATCTTGAATGTGTTGCCGAGAATAGTGCTTTTCTCCATCCCGTTCCCCAGTACGGTCATCGGCAGCCGTGAGGAACCTTCAGTTGCATCGGCATTTCGTTAACCGATTCTGATGACTTTTCTTATGTGAACTGCATTTGTTTTTTTAGGAAGTACTTCACGAATGATGGAGCTAACTACCTCGAGATCATCAACATGTCGGGCAGCTGGATCTACTTTCTTTGGTTCCTCCAAGTTCCATATTGTGACACTGTAATTTGAATCAAAAGGTTTCGCAATCTTATCAGTGTTTACAGCCGTCGAGACCTTATCACTAAGCTCAGTTTTCTTCTCTTTCCTGTGGTTCTTCAGCTTTCTATTCTTGGGCACTAGCTAAGTGGAATTAGTTACTTCCACTTTCCTCCCTCCGCGATTGGATACCATGAGTTCACCAGAAACGCAACGCTTCGTTGTGGTAGTATCACCCGGAGGTCTTACAATGTTGGCACTGCTTGCCCTCTTAGATTTTCAGGACCTTTTGCGTTTGTGTCTTTTGATTCAGGATGTGATTCTGTCTCAGTCTTATGACTCAGTTCAGAACCACCATTCATGGCATCGGTTCCAGATGCTGGTTTTTCCTCTCATCTGCCTCTTTTGTCAACTTTTTGGACATAAGAAGTCCCACTGTCTCTTGGATGAGGAAGTTCAACGGGCTGCTGAAAAATTTGCACACCCAGGAAGAAGATGGCTTGCTGTATCTGCTATAGGCTGATGGTGATAAGCCAGTGCAAACTTCATGAAGCCATAAATTGCGGCTATCACACTGCATCCCATCATACACCTGAAAGTGTCAGTCCGGTCGTCCACAGCTATTAGCGAGACTCATGTCGGCATAAGTTATTTAAATCACACAGACAAATATATACCCAAACACAAATACACAGAATCACACAGAAACTCGCAAAAGTGTACAAAAAGCAATAATTCAATTAACTGAACCAGTTAAAGTAAACCGAAAAGTTTCTGATGCGATTAACACAACAAAATAGAAGTTACTTCCTAATGTAAAATGCCACTCTCCTTTTCGAAGCGCGCACCTGGGCACAAATAAATTTGCTGGAGTGTAATATGGCTGGAGACTGATGGAAGATTGCCACTTTCTCCAGAATGTTAATGCATGCTGTAACCATGTCTACAACGGGACTAATATAAGATACAAAGAGTCGAAGTGTCCCTTCCTATTAAGTTGGTCAATGGAATGTACACGCTTTTATATGTTAAAGACTCGTTATATCGATAGTCGGTAAAAGCCTATAGCAGTGCTTCTGCCAACCACTGCAGAGTCGTTCATTTCAGTGGGTTCTAAAATTTGCAAGAAGTAAAGGCTTCTGGAACAACTGAAATCGTAAGTAAGCATTTTGAGTTACAGTTTGAATAGAAGATAGATGGATTGTAATTAAAGAACCAAATAACACCAACATGATTGGAATGTGCATATCAGTACACCAATTTTGTCGAAGTTCTGAAAGTTGTTTCTCACTTAATATAAGGAACGAAGGGAGGATATCATAGTTTAACCATAGGATTGTTTTAGGATAGTGATGATGTAGTATTGACTAGATTAATAAAGCAACTAGTTGCCGCTGTAAAGTGAGTAGTGGTGTTTTTGTTCGGCAGATTACTTTTAGTGATGCAACTTGAAAACCAGACTTAGACTGTGGGATAGGGCAGGTAACTGGGTAACTAAGTCTGTGTGTGTGTGTGTACAGATAGCTGGAAGGTGTAACAAGCACATCTAGATAGAGGCTTTTTCAACGGATAATATAAAATGAAAAGAAAAAAAATATAAGAATTCGAAATTGATCAGACCAAAACAATGCGCAAATATTGTGAAGTTACTGGTTGTTCACTTGTTCTATATATTTAAGTTTAAGTTGTCTGACTGCAGTACTTGGGATAGTAAGAGAAAAAGACTGTAGATTACTTGTGATATGAATCAGTATCTTTAAAAAAGTGGGTAGATCAGTGTGAGCAATACATGTCCTAGTAACGTCAGTGGATAGAGATTCACCTGTTAAACTGACACTGCACATCTAAAAGTAACACTAAAGTTCATCCAAATGATCAAATAAACGATTGGCTTTATGGTGAAAGCTTACGAATTACTTTCAATGCTTGTTTCTGATAACTGTATAGCAAGCAAAATAATATTTTGCGCAGTACATATACTGCTTTATTGGTAGATATAAGTATCCCGTAGTGGCACAGCTATCAAAAATCTCACCAGCCATGCGCATGGCCCGGGGTTCGATGCCCTGTCGACGCACACCTGATATCAGTGGTTGGCCTACAAATTTGGGCTACCGATATAGCATGCTGAAAATTCCATACTTGTACCGAAAATACGGTGTGGAATCAAGCTATAATCAAGAAAAATAAATAAATCTCTTTACACTGCCACAATGTCCATCTTATTTTCTAAATCTTACAGTATTTTCGATTATAATTTAAGACAAAGAATCCTTCAACAGATACCAAAGTACTTAGGAAGTTTGTCTGAAAACATGTGTATGATGTTTAGATGCATATGAACCTTTCAACTCGTTAACGTTTGAAATTTTTACACTTCATTCACAGCTCACCAACTCCCTATCCAGTTTTATTACTTTTATTTCTTATCCAATTTACATAAGTTTTACTTTCGCAACATGCAGTAAAAGTATCCTCTGACTGGCCAGTTGACAGTTTCTGGTACTTCTGTGTTTAGAAACAGTTGGAGGCCGTTGGTGATTTCCTGTGCAGGAGACTTGATTACTTACATACTGAATCTATATCAGATAGTGTGCGTAGCTGAATCTTTATTCATAAATCTCACGGCATGTTCTGTTGTCCGACCTAAAATACTAAAGATGTTGAGTCTAGTGGGTGTTATTGCAGAATGGTAGTTCAGACTAATCAAAATGATATTAGTGAAGCAGGTAACATAAATAAGGATAGAACGAAAAATAGGATCAAAGTTGGTTGGCAAACTTTATGAGATGTTAATAGTTATAAGATGATGTGAGGTGATTTACCGTGTTGGCGCTTGAAAGTAATATTACCGTTGAGACCTTATATATATACCAACACTGTCAGATAGTTTTACTAATTCATATTCCTATGTAAGAAACAATTTCTAAACATTACGTTTTTTTAGAAGATTTCGAAGTTTGTCTGTCTCTTCACCGTAATAGAGACCTTCTTTGGAAGACAGTTAGTAGAAAAACTTTTTAAACTAACATTAAGTAATCTCATATCCTGCAAATGCTTTGAGTGATATTGAGCGAAGACAGCTGTTGATGAAGGTTTGTAGTTTGTTCGAAGTACCATTCGTGAAGCGTAAAATCTTTGATCAGTATACCAACACTGACTTCACATTGGAGTTGAAAATCAGGATCTTATTTTTCACGCTGAGTTCTGTTGATCTCCACACAGACTTGAGTGTAGTGAAAGCTTGCCTTGCTTTCGCGATCCTTCTTTTGATATCCTCATCAGTTCCATCTGCTTGTAGTTAAAAGGATGCTTCCCAAGTACGATGGTAGGTAAAGGAAGTCGCTTCTTTCAAATTTCTCCCATATGTGTTGATTGTTGTCTGTTTTTGACGCTGCTGCTGTTGACTGGGAATCTTCATCACCTCTGTTTTCGCTATATTCACCTGAATTCCTATCTCAGATGCTTCTTCTGCCAATTTGAGCCATCTGTCGGTTCAATAATCAGACAGCAGACATCAGCCTCGTGTTAAATACTAAGATGATGGAGAGTGATTAATTAGGCATCAATCTTATTAAGGAAGTGAAAGTCTGCTGACAGTTTTCTTAGTGATTCTCATCTTAAGCGATTTTCAAAATCAGTCCATCTGCTCTTTCTGTCTGACTGTCTCTCTCTCTCTCTCTCTCTCTCTATATATATATATATATATATCAGTTCAAATTAAACTTATTAAACCGATTACGTGATTTTTGAGAAAAAATGAGCACATTTCAAGTGCTAGTCCGAACAGCTGATTGCTAGTTAAACGTTTTTCATACATACAACTGTAAAATGCTAATTCTTTCAGTCTTTCAAATTGATTTTTTTACCTTTCAGGTAGCACCTATCAAGCAATGTCGGCCAGATTAAATCAATTACTCAACTACAATCTTCATCATTCGATGGAGAATCGTATATCATTGAAACAGTCAACTGCTTACTTGCACAACAAGTTTCATCAAGAGAATCCATTGAATCATCAATTATGGGATCAAGAAATTTATACTCGTAGTTTACAGTCGGATTCGTCGACAATCTATCTAAGTAAATCAGATTATATGACAGCGGAAGTGAATGAGGCACTTATTCATCTACTTGGAAATCATACAGAATTAGTCAACAGAATTTCTTCACGTTTTCTAAATCAATCTTTTCAAAATTCAAACTTTCGTCGAAGAATATGGAGTATTGTATTAATATCTAGATGTGAGCATTAATCGATCTATTGGGATTATTATTGTTCCCTTGGATTCCGAATGAAACATAGTACTTAGACAGCACATCTCCACTTTTTTTTGTATTTTATGTTGTCCTCTTCAGATGAGTCCATGATTATCCATAATCTCTCATCTCCTCCTCACCACACGATTTCCTCCATGCCAACCTCAAACTCACACCGAAATTGTCATTTTCCATTCGGGTTCCACTCGTGTGATGCCACTCAGCGATCTCCTCAGTGCGTGCCCAATACATCTCTGTTTTCTTCTACATATTTGTTGAGCGATAGGCTCTAGGTTAATTTGTTCCCATAGTTCCTTGTTGCTAATTCATTCTGCTTAGCCATTTGCTCTGCAGTATAGAGCCAGAGAAGGCTACTGTTGATAAAAGTCTGTAACTTGTTGGAAATGCCTTCCTTGACACGGAGTGCAATTTTCTGAGCCACATAGAAGTAGTAAATGACTTCACATTTGTGATGTAAATCCGAATCTTGTTGTTTATGCTGAGTGTACAGGACTTCCAAACTGATTTCAGATTGATCAAGGTGTACCCCTCCTTTCCAAACTCTGACTGGCTTTGACATCTTCATCCGTTCCGTTGGCTGTGGTTGAAACAATGCCTTCTAGATAAGTGAAGGAGGCAACCTCTTTTAAGTTTTCCCCATTGATAGTGATTGGTGCTGTTTGTTGTTCCTGTTATCTGGTTATCTTCATCACCTCTGTCTTCTCTGTGTTCATCTGCAGTCCTGTCTTCACTGTCAGCCTTTTCAGCCATTTTGTTGGTTTTCATCTTTAATTCTTCCAGTCCATCTGATATTCAGCATAAATCATCCACGAAATCCAAACCTTCTAGAGTCTTCTTATCGGTCCAGCGTATTCCTGTTTTATCACTCCTCAAAGTCTGTCAAATAATCCATCGACCACAATTAAGAATACTGCTGGTAATAGCAGTCAGCCTCGTCTTACTCTTGTATTCACTATGTTTCTTGTGCATTGAAGTCTCTGTAGCTTTTTTTAGGGTAGGAGAGCTAGCTCCACGCTTAACCCTTCCTTTTTTATTGGGTTTGAAATCGGCTACAAAACTAGCGAACTAGTAAGCTAGGCGAGATTATTCATTGATTTAGGCTCAGCAAATTCTATTTGTCTATCAATTTATTAAAAACAATTTATGCCTCCAATTTAATTTCGCCTTTATACTTTATAAGGTGACTTCCTTTGTTTTGCATAGAATCACATCAGAATTAAGATAACAACTAAAATGTTAATCAAGAGTCTGCTTCAAGGAGAAAGCCAACTCCTACCAATTAAAATCCGGATTATCTCGATGAAATCTGATATATTTTAAAGTTAATTTGTTAAATTAGTCTAGATACTCTTTAAATATTACGGAAAGTCAGTGACTTTCCAGTCTACCTAAATTTTTCAATTCATTTCCATAACTAATACTTAAAGTTGAGTGTTTACACTCTTTAAATAAACAGATTCTTTCTATAGTAGAATGAATATAACATGGAATGAAACGTTAAGCATTTTATTGAATAAGTTATTCTCTTTCTTGAAAAATAAACTTCCAGTGAATAATAATAATTACCTGTGAAGTTAATTAAAATTATTTTCAAGTATTTGTTTTGTAGAGATTTTGTTTGATTGGTTGGAGGATTTCATCATGAGTTGACATAAGTTAGAAAACCATTGGAAAACCAATAAGGAGTTCTGAATGACTGCTTCATCCTAGTTTGAGACTCTTCAGCAGTACACATCCAGAGCGAGGGTTCGAACCCAGGACCTTCTGGTTACTGGGCGAGTTCGTAGACCATTAAGCCACTGGGACCCGATCCGTGACATGGCGTAACCACTTCGCAATGTCTTTTTCGATGAGTTACTGCCTCACCTTCAACCTGCGGTATCCTACTGGTCACGGTTTCCCACTCACCGAAGAAGGCATTGCGCAAGGGTCAGGCTATGTCATGATTTGGTGGAAGTTAGAATTCATGGGCTGGCCATTGGATAGGGTCCCATGTGGCTTAATGGTCTACTAGCTCGCATTGCAGTCAGAAGGTTCTGGATTCGAAACCCTGTGGTGCGTGCGTACTGTTGAAGAGTCCCAAACTAGGACGACAAAAACAGCTGTCGATTACTCCTCATTAGTTCTCCAAGGGTTCTCTAACTCATGGTGGAATCCTGCAACCAATTAAAGTTATTTTGCGCAAATTAAAAAGTACAACGTTTCCAAACAAATATTAGTAGTTTTATCATCAATATGTATTAAAATCAGAGAATAACTGAGAATAATGAAAATTAGGAAAGAAAAGGGAGTCGGTTCCATGAATCAGTAATCAACTCTTTGTTTCCCAAGTGAGGGTAATAACACCTTACGTCATAGATTTTAAAACTTTTACGTTTACTATTCTCTGTTCTTTTGAATTCGAGTTAAAAAAAGTGCCTTCGGCCGTAAATCTCCCCTTGTCTCTGTTCTCTGCAGTTATATTCAGTTGACTCAACAATTACCCATAATAATAGAGAAGATTTGTAACTCAGGTGGATGATTTGCAATTATTAGTGTTCTCTGAGCTGGTTGGTTTAGTTGCGGAGCTTACGTCGTCTTTCTGGACGACATCTTCAGCGCAATATTTAGGGTAAAGTGAAATGATTTAAATTTCTTCATGAGTGATGGAATTGCGTCTCCCATTAACCATCTTTAGATATGTATTGACCGTTTTCTATTGATTGGGATTTTAAACTTTCTGGTCACCTGATTTACTTTTTGTTAGTTGGTATATTTCATCTATATTAACTTGTTTATTGATTGCATATTCGTTTGAGTACCAAGCTTCTAGGCATTCCCTGACTGCAATTTTGGTGTTTCCTCTGTCTAAGATTTCGACATTATCCTAATCAAACTAATGTCCATAGTTGTCTGTATGGATTGATACTAAAGAATATATATCGTGTCTTTTTACTGCTGATTTGTGTTCTTGAATTCTAATTCGAAGCGGACGCCCACTTTGGCCGATGTAATGCCTGTTACAGTTCATACACGCAATTTATTTTGTAAATGGTGTTAATTTTATCTTCTTTTTCTGTTGGATCTTTTGGTTTGCATAAGATCGAATTAAGCGATTCGACTGGTTTGTGTGCTACATCTGTATCAAACGGTTTCATTATTCTAGCCGTTATTTCAGAGATATTTCTGATGTATGCTAGGATGAATTTCTTTTTGGTCTTTGATGATGGTTCTTTGTTGGTGCTTTGATTCGACTTTAAACACTTATTGATGAAATTTTTTGGATAACCATTCTTCTTGAAGACCGTTTGTAAGTATTTTTCTTCCATTCTCTTCAACTCTGGAGTAGGTGCTACAATGTGTCACAAAAGAAACTGTGTGCATACATTGTTTAGAAGAGTTCAAACTATTACAGACATAAATATACCACTACATATGACATAGCTTTTTTTAAATATTCCTTTAAAATAAAATTAAAATAAGGTATATAAGAGTTTTAATTTCCAGTGCTGAATTTCAAAGTTTAACTAGATCAAACTTAACGTAATTGATTTTCTATAATTCATACATTTCCCACAAACTGAAAGATATGGAAGTGAAAAGCAACAGAATGGCAGAAGAGGCATCAAAGATAGGAATTCAGGTGAACATAGAGAAAACACAGGTGATGAAGATTCCTGGCCAACAGCAACATCAACAAAAACAGACAACAATCAGCATAAATGGGAGGAATCTGAAAGAAGCAACCTCCTTTAGCTACCTGCATACTTAGGAAGCATCGTTTCAACTACAGGCGGATGGAACTGATGAGAATATCAAAGGAAGAATCGCAAAAGCAAGACAAGCTTTCACTACACTCAAGTCTGTGTGGACAACAACAGTACTTGGCGTGAAAAACAAGATCCTGATTTTCAACTCCAATGTGAAGTCAGTGCTAGTATACTGATCAGAGACTTGAGGATTCACGAAGGGTAGTTCGAACAAACTACAAAGCTTCATCAACAGCTGTCTTCGTTCAATAAAACTCAAGATCAGATTGCCATAAAAGATCAGCAACAGAGATCTCTGGGAGCAATCCAACCAGGAACCGATTGTGCAACTAATAAGCAGGAAGAAATGGAGATGGATTGGCCATACTTTGAGGAAACCATCAAGTGACATCACTAGACAAACCCTCGAGTGGAACCCGAAAGGGAAGCGGCGAGTTGGTTGTCAGCGTGAGGGTGACTTGGAGGTGGAGATGGAAGCATGTGGGCAGACTTGGAGCCAGGTGAAAACTTTAACAAAGAACTGAACGCAATCGAGACGCGCCGCTGAAGCCCTATGTTCCTATAGGAATTAAAGGAAATAATAATAGTAATTTTACCTTTTTTTAACTATATCTCTTTCCTAAAAATTTTTCACAGTATGTCATTTCGTTTTGATTAGTTAGTCAATATTGTTTGAGATGTTTTGGAAAACCGCAAAATTTCTAATTATATTTCAATCTTATTGGTAATAATTAATTCTACTTGAAGGCAAATTTAGTGAACTGAAAATTAATGTCTAACTTTAATTAATTTATAGTATAATTAATTCATAAACACTTATGTCCATTTTCAAAGTTCCTAGTGGAACATAGGCCTCCAGACTTGAAGTCTCGAAGTTTCTGTAGCTGTGTTTTTTGTACCCTGCACGTTTGGTAGCCTTATGCCAAACCTTCCCGTTTTTCAGAGCTTATTATTAACTAGAAAACTAGATGAGGCTTAATACCACATCAGCCAGCAGTTGAAGCCTTGAGTACGTGCCAGGCTAGCGAACATTCTACCACTGACTCATGATTCATAGATGTGAGCACAAATAAATCCAATATTTGGTTTTGGGTTTTGTTTGTTTTTTACATGAAACGGGATGCGTTTCCTTTTGGACTCTTCAGCAGTACGCACCCATCGGGATTCGAACCCAGGACCTTCCGGTTACAAGGCGAGCTCGTATACCATTAAGCCACTGGGACCCAATCCAATGGTCCTTGAATTCTAACTTCTGCCAATTCACGACATAGCGCGACCGCTAGCCAATGTCTTCGGCGAGTATTTGTCCTCACACCCCCACGCCCCTACTGGTCACGACTTCCCACTGGAACCCAGGTAACTACCTACCTGAATAGGGCCAGTCGCCAGTGAGCATCTCATTGGTATTCAAGTGTTGGTTTGTAGGGATTTGATTGGTTTCAGGATTTCATCATGAGCTGACATTAGTCCTGAGTTCGAACCCCGGTGGGTGCGTACTGCTGAAGAGTCCCAAACTAGGACGAAACAGCTGTCCAGTACTCCCAGGTTTTCCAATGGTTCTCTAACTAATGTCAGCTCATGATGAAATCCTGAAATCCAATGTTATTAATCAATAAAGTTAATCAAAGTGAATTATAACAACTGAAAAAATTAGAATTCTAAAGTCCTAAAGATGTTTATATTCACTATACGAATTTATGTAAAGATGGCCAGTTGCCCAGAGTAAGAAAACACAGTCTGGCTGGCATTTTTAAAGATTTCTCTACATCTATAAAAACGGAAAGCTGGAATTCATGGAAATAAAACTAAAAGGCTCTTAATTTACTATTCCAAGTCATATTTGATGTGTGGATGGAAGAAAATATTGTTTTGTTTTAAATGTCTGTTTATTCTATACATTTATTAGCTTTTAAATTGCATTTCAGTGTTATTTTTTTCCCGCAATTCCCTACCAGGTAAATCTAAAAGAAATGCATTAAAACAAATGATTCAAAGTTTTATACCCGATCGAGATGAACACAACAAGCTGGGATGCAGTAATTTTCTAGAATCTTCTCCATCAATGTCTTCATTGAAAGATTCTGTAGGTTGGTTTAAGAAAATGTGTTTTTTTTTATTTTTCAAAAATTATGCTTTCATTTACACATTTGAATTCTTCACTACCAGGTTGTTTATATGCAATGAATTATTTACTGAAATTTTATCAAGCATCATTGAACACAAGTGATAATTTGAAACCTTATTGTGTGAAACTTGTTGCTGTATTGGTCTTAGCAATGAAAGATCATTTACCAAGGTATATTTATTTATACTGTTTTACTTTCTATTCTGAATAACTTAGACTAATTGATTTGCATTTACAAAACTTTTATCTTTAATATATCTTTATCTTTTTTTGACTGAAAAGACGTTTCTTATATTTTGATTATTGTTTTTATTTGTTCAGGAAGAAGTTGGTCTGAACTTAAATAATATGCTGAATAAGAAGATGCCAAGCATCGGTGGCACAGTAGTAGAATGCTCGCCAACCAAACCTCCTGTGGTTTGGGGTTTGATCACCTGCGGATGCACCCCTTTACCTAACTTAAACGAGTATTAAGACTGGCAGAGAAGGAAGGTTGAGCGTGAAGCTAGCAACCTCATCCCGTAGACATAATAAATACCACTGCTACCGAAACTTCAAACCTCTAGCTTGAAGCCCCATTTTCTACTGGGAACGGAAAGGAATAAAATAAATACATGACAATTAGATTTGTTTTTTCGATTTTGACCACGGATTGATACCAGTTAAAGAACCATTGAAAACCACTACAAAGTAATTGCCAGCTGTTTCATCCTAGTCTGGGAATCATCGGCAGTACACACCCACCACCAGGGTTTGAACTTAAGACCTTCCGGTTACAAGGCAAGCTGGCTCGTATACTATTCAGCCACTGGGACCTGACTTAATGGCCAGCCCATGAATTTTAAATTCTATCGATTCGTGATTTAGCGCGACCATCAACCAATGTCTTCAGTGGGAAGTCCATTCTCACACTTGACTGGATGGATCTCACTGGCCCAAATTCTCACTAGAACTCCAGGAAACTCTGTCCTGTAGTAAGTCCCTAGAGAGTATCAGATTAATTCGCAAGAGTTGGTTTGTAAGCATTGGATATGTGTTTTTTCTTTTGTTTGGTGGTCGCGCTATATGACGAATTGATAGAAGTTAGAATTCATGGGATGGCTATTGAGTCGGGTCCTAGTGACTGAATGGTATACGAGTTTGCCTTGTAACCGGAAGGTCCTGGGTTCGAACCCTGGTGGTGGGTGCGTATTGCTGATGATTCTCAAACTAGGATGAAACAGCTGTCAAGTACTCCATAGTGGTTTTCAATTGTTCTCTAACTGATATCAATCCATTGTCAAACTCGAAGAAAAAAGCAGATTTAAGCCTTACAAACTAAGTCTTGAAAATTGATAATAAGGTGTCACTAACTGTCTATTTATATTCTAGGTTTTAACCAATATGTAGACAGAATTAGTGGTTAGACATTCTTATATTGTTGAAAATTTGACACATATTTCCAGAAAATCAGAATAAACTCCTGTAAAATGATTGTCTTGCAGGAAGTGGTGTTTAGTTACTTTCTAAATGACATTTAACCAACTCACTAACGACAAGCACATGAACAGCTATTTGAATTATCTTGAACAACCAAAAGCGTCATTTCAAAGGAATATTTTATAGAAAACAAGTTATGTAACGAAAAGTATTTGTGCAGGTTGGCAATTCCTTATTTGTTCTAGAAATGTCTTCTAGTTAGTCACTGAAATTCATAGCCTCAGTCTAACCCAGTTTCTGTACATGAATTCATCGAGATAACACTGTGTCATTTCATTCTTTGACTCATATCGCTAGATTCTTGGTTTCCAAATGCCTCCGGAATCCTTATGAGGAATTGATATGTATGCCAACCGACGGATCAATAAAATCAGAAGAATGATTTACACTGTTAAGAATTTAGCTGGATGACTGTAACTGTTTGTAACCTATCGATTCGTCTGTATGAATAGGTGTTCTGGCTATCACAAGACGTTGGATGATTACTGTCTACTAAGAACCTATTATAGAAGCAGTATTGAAATACAAGACCAGTATGATGTTTGTATAGCAAGGCTTACCTGACTGGCTGTTCAAGATCATTCCGTTGGGCATTCTCTTGGGTCTATATACTTTAGTATAATCATACCTTAATCAATCAGACATGAGCTATTTTAGTAGTTATGCAAGCACAGGGGACAAGTGCGAAAACGTACGATGTAATACAAAATAAAACTAATTATAGACGCGTAGGAATATGAAAACATAAAGGGACTGTTTGTTAGCAGGATGGAGATAAACAAAAACAAACAAAATCTTCCTGAGGGTCACTGAAAGTCACCTTTATCGCGATCAGTCTCATAAGTATTTTTCGCGTCCGACAGCTACTAAATCTTAGACAGACGACCTCCTGGTCTCTTTTCATCAGTCAGTGACGTCTTTGGATGCTTACAGATTTGTGTTTATCATGTGATTTAAATTAATTTCAACCATAGCGCCATTTGAAGTTAAGAGTGTGTAATGTAATTCAAAATAAGTGAAATATGTACTGAGAAATCATATTTACCTTTCAAAGGAATAAATACTGTGAGATTTAGTTAGATAATGTTGAGATTATAATAGTTTATGCCTATATAATTTGTTCATGCAGTTATTGTGTCTACATACTTTTAATATCCTAGAAATCAACCTCCAAATACAGAAACTATTTGTCTGTTAGTGCAAGAGCTCTTCGTATTTCTTTCGATAACACCGTCTTTTATAACACATTTACCACCGATATGGTTTACTCGTTATTCTCTTTATAAAATGGAAGATGAAAAAAATAATGAAATCTTCAGTAATCTATCCGAAAACAAAGATATTAAGAAAATAGCCTTCAGTCAAAGCGTCTTAAAACATTTACGTACTATTGACTCAAATATCGCTGATTCCGTTATGAATGAATTACTACTTATAGAAAGTAAGTAGAATATTGAATGTTTATTGTCATCATTATAATAAGTATTTACCTTCTTTTAAAGTAAAACATCTTATAACCATTGACTGCTACACTGTTTACGAGTACACTCTCATACTTTGAGGTATATATCAATTCATGGATTCCTAATGTACATAAGTCTTCCCCTCGGTTGTTACTCATTCCATTGACCAATTTCTCCCCAATAAAGAGTTTCTTGGGTCTGTAGTCTTTCTAAGTATGGGGTTAAAATATGAAATTGATGAGTAACACTTGTCTCTTTGAATATGAGAACTTGAAAATGATTGGATTCAAATTGTACGAATCCTTCCACTAATTTAGTCATCCGTCATCAATAAAAGCCTTATCCATTCAATGCAGATAAATTGAATTAAAGCAAAGTAATCTAAAAGAATGAATATTTTCAACTTTCTACCTTTGAGATTGATGTGAAAGTCACATTAATAAACATGAGTAAGTAATCTTTGCAAATACAAATTAATTAATTATGAACGTCAAGATGACCTTTGCATTGAATCAATAATGTAACTATTTTATTTTTTGGCTCAGATCATCAAGAAATTCGGGGATGAAAATCAAAAGATACTCCGTCGCCTTCCTCGACGGGCAATGTTAGCTGATATAGGGTCAGGCTGGAAAGAGCTAGCGGCGGTCAAACAAAAACATGGCACCAGTCAATGAAATCCACAACAGTTAGTCTAAGCCACGTAGGAAGGTGTAGACTGGCTTCCTGGTTGGGGTCTTCGGGACGGTAAACACCAATGGCTGGAAACTATTGGTGATATCGCTCAAAGTCGTTCTCAATGGCGCAGATGCATCCACTCCTTGTGACTTATGATTTCCAATGAAACTATATTCGTTATTACTATTCCTTTATCTCACACCTCTGCTTACGGTCTCTATTATGAATTTCTTCTACTTTCTTCTCTTTCTTTGTGTGCTAATGTGTTATAATTAAAAAAAAAATTACATGAAGTGTGGCGACTTGAACTGGCGCACATATGTGCAAAGTTCTATGTCGAAAACAGACAGACAGGAAAATGTAAAGACTTACACACTGAAGGGTGAACTCACACTCATAGATTTTTCTATTGGGGTGAATTCTAATCTTTAACAACAACAACAAAAATAATAATAACAACTTTCAGGTGTTCCTTTGTAGGGACTTGATAAGTTTCAAGTGTCGGACAGCTGTTTCGTCCACCATGTCGGGTGCGGTGACAAATACTCACCGATGACATTGGCTGGCAACGGGGTTACAATTCGAGAATCGACAGAAGTTATAATTAATAGGTCATTGAATTCCATCCCCGTGGCTGAATGCTCAGTAAGCTCGCCCGTAACCTGGAGGTCCTGAGTGCGTACTACTGAAGAATCCCAGACAAGGAGGTAATAGTTATCCAGTGCTTCCTGGATTTCAACGGTTCTCTAGCTGACACCAATCTGTGAAAGAGCTAGAAACCAATAATTGCACATGGTCCGGAGTTCGATCCTCTGCCGACGCACACGTGGTATCTATGGTCGGCCTGAAATATTCGGGCTATCGATATCACATGCTGAAAATTCCATACCTGTACCAAAAAATACGGCATGGAGTCAAGCTGTAATAAAAAAATCAAGCAGTACATTTGATACAGTGTGGAATCCTTAGTATGTAGTGCTGCATTGCATTTAGCCTTCTCTTTACATTACATAGTGAGAAAAACAATTAACAGAAACACTTGAATTAATGATCATGTCAACAAAATATAAATGTAAAATTAAAACTTGAAATTAACATTATTTATAACAACAATATATGAATGCTATGAAGAATAAAAAGAGTCTTTTATTTTAATATATGTGTAAAACTTGGGCACTGTGGTAGTAAGTAATTCCATATTAGTTTGTATATTAGATACATCACACAGTGAAACAATATTCTTTACTGTAAATAATATGTTTCACTGTGTGATATATCTAATAAACAAACTAATATGGAGTCTTTTATTTATTGATTCGCAGTAAGTTAGTTTCATGCCTAATACACTTTTCCCATCACATAAAATTCCTGTCATACAAAGCACCATAGAAATTATATATTTGATTTCAATACATTAGATATTCTCATAGTAAAATTTAGAACAACACATTTAAGCGAACAATATTGTGCTTTCAATTAGATCTCATCAAGCTTAACTCTAATATATATAAGTTTACAAATAAAAATTCAAATATAAACCAATCATCGTGTTTTGTCTATAGGATAATATGATGGTGAATATAAATTGTGCAATTAGTCATAATATTAATAATAGTAATAATAATAATGGTCTTATCAATAATAAGGATGAAAAATAGAGGCAATCTATGATAACACGAATAATGAAAAAAAGTATGAATAAACAAACAATTGTTCAGGTGGAAGTAGTCGATAAAAGCTAATAAAAACAAAGGAACCGATTAAGTAATGTTAGATTGTAAGGGAAGGAAATGAGACACCTTTTTAATGAAGATGTGATAAGATTAAGGGATGATAAGAAAGGGGTTGGAAATATAAATAAGGGGTGGTGTAGAAGTCATTAGTTGGTTATGTCTTAATAGACCAAGGGAAGGATAATGGCTGTACGAACTTCTTTTGAATGCATAGTTTAGGTTTAATAGTTCAGTTGCCTATCGCCTCAGTTGTGTGGATTAGACGAATACGAAATCTATGGAAAGATTCGGTGGGATACGATGAATTACTTTGAAGGCTCTCGTTTTCTCCACCACATGACCACTATCAATTAAATGTCACAAAATTGAGGTACGGATTGTTTTTGTCTGTCCTTTGCCAAACCACGATGGGAGGTGTTCACTAACACGTTGGCTAAGCTGTCTAGTAGTACGCCCAACATAACTGTCACCACAGGTGCAGTTGAATTGATAAATGCACACAGATGTGGCAAAACTATCAAACTTATCCTTCGTTTGCGTCCCAATCATTCGTCGGCTAGAGAATGACAAACATAGGTGTGCTTCGTAAAATGTTCTTCGTATACTCCTTGAAAGTCTTTGGAATAGAATCTCACTAGATAAGTCACCATTAAATTGTAACTTAATAAATAGAGGTTTCTTATGTGCAGTCAGAGTCACAGGTTTTTTCTCTGATATTTTCATATGTTTCTTTATGAGACTACTCGGATAGCCTATCTCCGTCAAGGAATCGTGAATATATTCAAATTCCTTTTTTAAGAGGTCATCCGTACATATCTTTCTTGTGAATGCGCTTTTTCTATACACGTTTCTCCCAAGTGATCCATCTTCTCTCCTACTTAGCAAGACATCCAGAAAATGTAGTTTATTCTCCTGCTCCTCTTCACAAGTAAAGGTGAGAGTAGCGTTTAAGACATCATAAAGCACCTTTCATATACTTCGCCTCATTAACTAATTTGGTAGATTTCAGCCGCTCTAATTTATAGATTTAAACAGACAGTAAATTAATATCTGAATTTAACTTTAGATATTGGCCCTATTTCCGAGTTATGCAGTGAAGATGAGATATACTCAGAACTGTTTTATGAATTTATACAGCCAGTTACTGAATCTATATTTAGTGGTGAGTATTTCTGTTATCATTTTATTATTAAGAAAAATAAAAATCAAATATATTCATTAAATAGAACTATCGCATGTGGTTTATCATAAATCAGAATTTGTGTGAAAAGTAAGAGCACTAGGCAGCTTTTCTGTTCTAATCCATAATGATGAGAATCGACGAACTCATCATAAGTCGAACAGAAGAATACACTGCCACCATGATTCAGCTTAATCTAGGGGTAACTTTGTTAACAGATAATCCCTATGAATTCATTAGAAAATCAATTTTCGAGAATTCTTGAAGCCTAAAACCAGTATCATTCTGCTGTTTGGCGAGTATACTGGTAGACATTGTGAAGTAGTAAGAAGAAGCTTTGACTGGTGGAATCTACTAAATCATGTATAGGAATTGTCACCCACTGACGAATTGAGATGGATCTACATTGTGATATTACCTAAGCTGAAGATTGTGAGCAATTTTATTTTAATCCAATGGTAACATGGCTGTCTTAAAATGCGATGGTCCTAAGTTCGATTCCTGACGAGGTCAACAATGTGCACTCCTGGAATAACTCGTGCAAGAATGCCTATCAACTGCGTTTTGTTTTCCAGAGGTTTATTGTTGATGTCTCGAATTTACCCCAAAATGAATGCTAGAATAATTCAGTTGACTAAGTTCATAGTAGAATAAAAAGATTATAGCTATGCAAAGCGCAGATTAGCAAAGTGTTTGAGATATGTAGGACACTCATAGATTATTTTAATTGATATGGACGCTGAGAATAGGATCATTCAAAGCTTTTTATGATTTAAACCTTGCTAGCTTCATTCTTCCAGATTACCTTTTGATGCCTCGTTTTTACCAGTTACTAGCTAATCTAGAAACCTAATTTCATGAATATTCAGCACTGATGAGACTTTCCGTAGGCTATTAGATAATCAGTGGATAGTTTGAATAATAATACATACTAAAAAAAAATGGCATCTCACCAGAATCTCTGCCAATAAAATTTCTATCAGAATGAATACAAAAGCCCATACAAAATTTTACAACTTGTACTATTATTAGCTTCAGCCAAATGCCGGACTACATTACAAAGACTGTACTTACTTTACTGAACTGCTGAACCAAAAGGTATCATACATTAGAAGTCTTTAACAGTTAGATTTCTTGGTTCTGTCGCTCGCCTTAGGTGAAGCGATTACGTAGGTAAGGCTGACATTCGAAGTAGAAAGTCAAGTCGTCAGGGTAACCTACTCTTTGGTATTGACTAGTATGTGCGTAACGCATGCATGGTAAAAGTGATGGAAGTTGTTCACACTGTCAAAAGTGAACTCGCCCTTAATTAGAAAAGTTATGAGGATCCTCAACACTATGTGTAAAACTATTTTTTCCTCACAAAAATTAAACTCACCTGGTACAAATATCGAATTTTTTTTCTCATTTAATTAATTACTTAACACTAACATCATAACAGCTTTCCTTAACTAACTTGTAACGCAATATACTGAGTACTCTAATCATAACAGAGGATAAAAACTCCACTGAATCACCTTTTCAATCTATTGTCAAAAGAATTTTATCGACTTTGTTTTTCAAAAACTATCCTTCAGGTTATTTATCTGAATCAACGTTATTATACGTATGGGATCAGTTGATTTTATGTATTGCTGGAGCTGAACCTGTTGAAACTAGTGTGACACATACACTGAGTTGCTTTGTTTCTGCCTTTGTATATCTCTGTTGGATAAGAATACATAAAAAAGAGGAATCAAGTTCAGATCAACTGCAATTGCACAAAGAACAAACAAATAAAGGCATAGAGACGAAGGGAATTTCTGCACTTCACGAATATTTTTCTATGATTGGCCCGAGACTGCATGAAAATGATTTTCAATTCTTGGTAGGTACTTTACTGTTAAAGTATGCGATTCGATGATTCACAAAAGTATTTTAATTCACTGTCCTAAGTTATTCAACGAGCATTTATATTATATATTGGAGGCAATCGGCCTGCATTTCGTGCTAGTCGGCACTCATCAGCAACACACACATTACACTAGTTACTAATTAGTGTTCAATCAAAAGTATCCAGTACAGTCCTACTGGAGGTGAATCGCGGGTCTGAATAGCTCGGTGGAAACTTCTCTGACTGCAGCACTGGATGGTGCAGGTTCGAATCTCAGAAGAGACATTAATTCCTTCAAGGTTGTAGGTACGCCTTGCTTGACTGATGAATGCCATCTAGCAGGAAACGTAGGTCCAAGGCTACCTGTCGATTGCTTCCGACAATCTAATACCAAAAATTCACAGTGCACCGTAATGGCGAGCCACCTAATATGGTGGCCACATTGCAAGCTTGACTGATAGAATTCAGTCTACACCAAAGATAGGACTAAACACATTACACTAGTTAGTGACTAGTGTCCAATCAAGAACATTCATATTAAATCCTTATTGTTCTTCAAGGCTAGATAACAAGAAACATGTTGCTGAATATTATTTCTAGACATAAGAAATTAATAAGAACATACTCAACAACCTGTTCGAAGCGACTGAATTCATAAAAGACGAAGAGTCAGATAATAGAATTCCCTTTATTTGAATGTCCTAGTCAAGAAAACGAACATAGGAAATCTAGAAACTCAGATATGTAGGAAATCAATCTACACAGACAGATCAGGTACTCAACTACAACAGCAATAATCCAACAACATAAAAAAGTAACTATGTGTGGACATTGTTCAACATCACTAAAATACACTGTAGCCCTCCAGTCCTGATGACAATAGAGTAAAAATATATATTAACTGTCTTCAAGAAAAATGAATACCCCTACAATGTCATGAAAAGATGTTTAAATTCGAATCAAACAATCCTGAAAAACCACAGGTAAATTCATCCTATCATGTATAATGTTTCTGAAATAACAGCTAGAATGCTAAAAGCATTAGGAATAGATAACTTACACAAACCATTGCAATCACTTTATTCAATACTATGCAGACCAAAAGACCCAAAGGCAAAAGAATATAAGGTCGACATGCTGAACAAAATAAATTCCAGGAACTTTGAATAGCTTAAGACTCCAAGGCTAAGAATGTAAACTAGTTGTTAAAAACGGGACGGACATCTGTATCGACGTATATAGACAACTATGGACACCAAGGTGACTAAGAAAGTGTCAAAATTTTAAACAGTTAAAATACCTAAAATGCCATGGAATTCCTAGACGCCTGGTACTCAGATGATTAAGCTATTAACAGACGTACTGAAGTACATCAAATTTATCAACTATTAAAGAATTAGCCTCATGACGAAAAAATGTTGAACTCCAGGTTAACCAAACCACTAATATCGATGCAAATTAACAACCAATCATGAAACAGAGTAATCATGAGATATGCTTACATCATTCAGGAAGAATTCAGATAAATTCCCTTCATATTAGCTTCTACGATGCAGATGTTGTCTAGAAGGACAATGAAAGCTCTACAATTGCATTACCCAGCTCAAAGTTAATAAATAATACCTTTAAAGTGTACGAACTATTGATATATTATGACTGTAAATGTTTCTTTGAGAATCCTGGTAGAAGTGTATTAAAGGAGAAAATAATTTGTCATATAAAAAATAATGTTATGTAGAAGGAAAATGTAACTCAAAATTGTTCTTTATGGCACAGATGCATTTGGAATTCATGATCTCCAACCAACTAAAAACACTAAAACATGAGGGGAGTTCAATGTTAAAGTTTTTATATTACAACAAAAGGAAACAAACTTTTCTCATGCGTTAACAGGGTACAAAGGTAAAGTTGTTTCTAAGGGATATAGATTATTAAGCAAAATAAAGATACGGTATAACGCTTTATAAATATTATTCTTCATAGATTTGGTTCCCTTGATAAATTTCGATAAAGAAAGGAAGACGAAATTTGCAGTATAAAATGATATCATTCTATTTCACAGGTCCTCATCAGCTGCCGACTACCTGAAATTACAATGTTTATATAGACGATAATAACATACTTTAATGTTTAAGTGGTAGTAGAGAAGAAATACCATGAAATTGACGCATCCAAAATGAAACCATTACAATTTTTTAGTTTGAGTTTTCATTATCATTTTGTACGCTTTCAATGTAGAAAAGAGGAGGGAGAGTAAGACAAAAAAATATAATTAACAGAAACAATATTAGCTTGTAGTTTCACATAGCAACTCAAAAAACAAAAGCGGTCACAGTTTATAAGATTAAGATTTGTTCAGTGAGTTGAGTTCACTGAATCAGATGACTGATTAATGTAATCAAAATCAAAATTCAGTTACCAAGGGAGTGAGAGGTTAATCACATTATCTTTCTGTATGCATAAGTCTGGTTTAAATCGTTTGACTGCGATCGCTTCGGCAAATCGTAGTAAATCTGCTGTCCTTTGTCTATTTAATATTTTGAAGGATTTAGAAATCTCTACGAGATATCCGGTACCAACAATATGTCTGGTAATTGCACTCTGCGAATATCTGCTTCCTTTCAGACACAGGTTTCTTAGAATATGTTCAGAAAACCGGATAGAAGCCCTTCTTTCCCTTCTTCCAATGTACTTCCTCCCACAAATGCACATAAATTCATAAAAGCAGTTGGAGGGGACATCAGCAGGATATTTATCCAGTTCTGAGTGGCATATAGAAGAAGTGGTGCTGTATAATATTATGTGTTTTACTGCCGGGAAGCTTCTTTTTATCACACCTTTGAGTCTTTTGTCAATCTTTTGTGACACTGCATCTCCTTTGAGTGGGGGACAAATAAACACGGGGAAGGCTTTATCCAAAATGGTATTGTTCTCTTGCATGTTTTAAAAGAATATATTTTCTCTGTACTTTGAAATTTCTACAGCGATTATGTTGATTTTCCAGGACAGAGTTGCTAGCCTCACGCTCAACCTTTTCTCATTTTCCAAGACATTAAGTGAACATTAGAGAAGACAGAGGCGATGAAAATACGCAACCAAAAATAACAAGCACTATTCATTATCCACGGGAGAAATTCGAAGGAAGTCACCCCTTCCACTTGACTAGACAACATCTTTTCAACTACAGGCGGTATGAATGCGTATTTCAAAGCTAACAAGAATTGTGAGAGCAAGACAGAGAGCTTCATTAATCTGAAGTCAGTATGGAAATATACAGCACTAAGTATAATGGACGAAATTCAGATCTCTCAGCACTGATATCAAGTCAGTCTGTGCTTGTGTAGATTTCAGTGACTTGGCGCGTCACCAAAAGCAGTTGCAACAGGCTACTGCAAACTTTATCATCAACAGCCTTCTCTAGCTCCATACTAATAATCAGATGATCAGCCAGAACGAAGTGGTAACAAAGAACTTTTGCTGGCAGTGAACCAACCTAACAAATAGTATCGCAAACGAAATGCATGTACATAGGATATACATCATGCCCTAGGCCCTGAAGTGAAACTGAATGGGAAAAATCAAGATGGGAGTATGACAGTGACGTGGAGGAGATCGAGTTAGAAGGAGACTAGAAGCGGATGAAGACAACTGCAGAGGACAGGATGAAATGGAAATGTGCTGCTGAAGCCCTATATTCCTCTTGGAACCCAAGCGAATATTAATAATTAATAAATACATATTTTGTCAAATTCTTTTGACGATGAAAATAGTTATTACAAAAAAAAAAGAAGTTAACAGCGGTGTTATAGCGATCATGACTCCATAAAATTAAATTAGCGCACAATGGAGACAAAAAGAAAACGTTTGCAATACAGATTAGATTTGAAACAGATGTATTTAATCTTGATCCTAGAGATGGTATCAATATATCCCATGTATATTGATCATTAAAACTTATTTATCCTTGTCCATGACACGTTTATTTTTATTTATTTTGCTTTAACATGTAGATAAAGAAATATTTTCTAATGGATATATTCTGTTTGTTAACTGGTACAACAAATTTTAATATGCAAACGTCTCTACTATCATATGAAGATCCGTGTGAGTCACTTAATATACACACATATATAAGCCACTTTATACCAAAGAAACAGTACTTATAATACAGAATGCAATTCTCAGCATTGCTCACAATATGGCATCTAATTTCCTCAAAATGTTAATCAAAGTAACCACAAGAGCATTTCCACATTAACAGTAGGAATAATATCAAAAATATGCAAAGGATAAAATGAGAATAAATAAATAAAACAATAATAATAGTGATAATAACAGTAGGCTTCAAACAACACTGTCCATACAGTATGGAAGTCTTGGCATGTTACAGAATATTGAGTCTGATATTCCCTTGCCGTAGAATGGTGAGGAGAAAAGTTCTAGATTACAGTTAACAGAGAGTCTAAATGGTGTTTACACCTGTAAAAACAAAAAACCAAGGACTTACACATTTAAACAGGAGTAATAGCAGTAAGACTTGATGGTAAAAGGATAGAGAAAATTGGTCATTTAATAGTGGAAGGAAGGTTCATTAGTTCGTGTTTGACACTATTTTCATTACAGAAAATGCGTGCCAAATATACTATGGCGGAATTTTTATACTTGTACGTGCACACATAAAGTCTTTTGAAATGACATCTTGTTCCACCTAAGGAGGAGATGCATGGTGAAAGTTGCGGGTAAAGTGTATGCTAAAAGTCTGACAAAATCCCTTCAGCAAATTTGTTGCATTAAATCAAGTACCAATCAATGAAGATGTCAACAATATAATCCTATAGGACGCCACTTGCCCTACTGACTGACAGTCTTCAGAGTTCTACGAAGCAACTCAGGAAAGAATGAGGGTGAACAATAAAGAAGAATAGGTAATATGCAAAAGTTGACAAACTGCTAGAGGAAGGTTTGGGTTATGCCAGAGTGCCTTAACTTCTTGATGTCAGACGAAATGTCATATAATATCATGTCATTAGAAATCGCTAAGACGTGGCAAATCAGGATAGATCATAAGAAAGAATTAGTCCAAGATACTTAAGATCTGACTTGATTTCTATATAAGCATCATCAATTTTAAAACGATCATTGGAATTAACGGCTTCGTTTAACTTTCCTTTACATCTAAACCTGAAATTGGCAGTCTGACACTTGTGAGAATTTAGTTTAAGACCATTAGACAAAAACCATCTTAGTACACTCTAGCTGGGAGTTAACAGGTATTGAAACATTCAGATCATCAGGGTACTCAACAAAGTCCATTTCATCAGAATGAAGCAAATCATGCAAAAAGAAAGAAGACAGAGAAGGAGAAAGAACAGCGCCTTGAGGGATACCATTCTGAGTAAGCAATGAAGTGGACAACTTCCCCTTACATACAGTCTACAGCTTTCTTCCTGAGCAATAAAAAATGAAGTCAGTTAACAACCCAACACTCATTCTGAGTTTCAGCAGGCTTGTTTAACAGAATATCCTGAGGTACTGAGTCAAAGGCAGATGTATTGTCTAGGAAGGCGCAGCGGACAAATTTAGCCTTTTTGTCTAAACTGGTGATGATGTTATGATGCAAGACTGCAGCTCCATCTAGATAACTTATACTATTTTTGTATATATATATATATATATATATATATATATATATATATATATATATATATATATTGTAAACAAGTGAGTGTTTGAGATTTACACATTAACCCCTTGAATACTTAATAAAGAGTATCCAACTAAATACAAAGTTAATCAAACTGACCGATTCATCCGCTTAATTTTTGTTGTCGAGTTTTATATGAGCTCTGATAATGATTTCACCGAAGACTACCGGAAAAACATTGGACATTGAGTGAAAAGTGAATAAATGCAAAAATGATCTTTGTAGAACTATAACAGTATTCAAACATCAGAAGTCTTTTCCTATTTTCAGTGTTTCGATTATTTTCCTTAAGAAGTTCATACCAGTTTATAAGACGCGAAAGGTTGGAATTATTTGTCTCAGCAGACATAGTTCTAAAATATGTTTGGTTACTCTATGATTTAATCGCTTTATCATTATGCACAATTTATTTCAAGCCAATGAAAAGAACCCGTAATTAAAAAGTTTAAATAAAATGTTTTCTCTCTAAAAATACCTCAGTGACCTCATCCTCAGTAGTAAAGCCCAATAAGTTGTTCAACAAGAAAGTTTTACTTAGTTTTATGTCTCTTCCTCTCTAAGTAGACTGTGAAGTTAATTCCTATCATAAAATGTAAAGTGTGTCTGAAAAAGAGTCCTTTTTATATAACTATAAAACCTGGACACTGTGGTAGAGTAAAACTCCATTATAGATAAGATTTTATTCTGATTAAATCACACAGTGTTGTACATTAAGTTTGTTAAACGAAAATGCGATTAGTAAGTTTTTGGTGGAGTTACGTAATACAAAAGGCGTTCAGATGAATTGGATGTTGATAAAAGAGGCTAGTAACAAAAGTGATGAGTTGTCACAAACGATACTCAAAGAAGAGTTACGCAATAATGTGAATAGTTTGATGAAAACATTGTACTCGGGGTGTACATGGAAATAAAATAACATACGGAATTACGTAAGAGTTTTAAGTAGTTAGAAAAATAAACATAAAAGCAAAACTTAAGTCAAATCAACAGAGTTATTACCATGATAGTAGAAATGGTTGAATAACTTTCTTTTTTATGCATAGTTCTGGTTCTTCTAATTGAATGGCTAGGACTTCTGCAATGCAAAAAAGACGGTAACGTATTGTCCTTGGCAGGTTGTTCTTCACTTTATAGATTACTTTGAAGGAGGCGTTTGTTGAGATGGAATGACCAGTGGTGACGAGATGTTCGATTATTGCACTGCTTCTATGGACACCATAAGCAGTTAGCAACCAAACTCTGTAAGAACAACAACACCACTGTTAATGGAATGTTAAAAACTCTTGAAGCCCTATGTTGCTTTAGGAAGTTACATAATCATATATATATATATATATATATATATATTATTACTGTTTGTAAAGTTTTTGTTAACAATTAAGAGTGAAGCAAAAATGGCCGATTTCTGTTGAATATCGACTCATATTTTGCACATATCTTTATTTCAGTGAAATGGAAAGAATGGTCAATACTGTCACAAAGGTCATATTTAACAGATCCTAGTAAACGGACAGAACAAAGATTGCTAAGATTTAAAGAATTAGAAAAGTAGGTAAACTGCACAACCCTTTTTTCCACTTGCATATTTATGAGTCTTTGGTATGACGCAGAAGATTTGTAGATCACATGAATGTATTATGTCTTTTCACATGCTTTTAGCTGGTTGGTTCAATCGCTAAGCTTCTAGTGTCTGTCTAGACATCTCTAGTGGTGATTTTCATGTAAATTTTATTGTGGTACCATTGCAATCAGACATATTTATTTATCTTATATTTGACTAAGTTGTTCACTAAACGATTTAAACTGATGTGCAAGATAAAGTTAATTAAACTATATCGAAAGAATGAGATTGCCCAGTGACATAGAAGTGAGTTTTCGCATCGTCAGAGATTCTGGCTTGTCTTCACTTTTTTTAAACCTAGATTAACCGGTTGTGGAAACCAAATAATGAGGTGACTTTCATTTATCTGTCTTCTACATGACATCTTATTCGATGTAACCACTATTTACTGCTAAAATTATTTACTAAATAGCCTATTGTATCTTTCAACAAGTGCATTCTAACTTTATGAAGATTTTAACAGTGATGCTTACCTACACTTACTCTTATTGTTCGAATCGAAAGCTACTAAGTGTATCTGTTACTTCCTTGTTTTGGTGTGTTTACGCGTGTTTATATTCACTTTTTAGCTCATACATTAATTGCCGTTTCTCGCTTTATGCATTCACTAGTCTTTTATGTAGCATATGTGAACTGTTGTTTATTACTGTATTATTATTGTTTCCTTTAATTCCTAAAGGAACATAGGGCTTCAGCTGCGCGTTTCCATTGCGTTCGGTTCTCTGCTAGAGTTTTCACCTGGCTTCAAGTCTGCCCATACGCTTTCATCTCCTCTTCACATGACCTCCTCTATGTCACCCTTGGACGACTAACTCTCCGCTTCCCTTTCGGGTTCCATTTGAGCTATGGCTTGTCTAGTGATGTCACTTGATGGTTTCCTCAAGGTATAGCCAGTCAATTTCCATTTCTTCCTGCCTATTTGTTTCACAATCGGTTCCTGCTGAGTTGGTTCGCTCCCAGAGATCCCTGCTGCTGATCTTTTATAGCAATCTGATCTTGAATTGTATTGAGCGAACACAGCTGTTGATGAAGGTTTGTAGTTTGTTCGAATTACCCTTCGTGAAGCGTCAAATCTCTGGTCAGTATACTAGCACTGACTTCACATTGGAGTTGAAAATCAGGATCTTGTTTTTCACACCGAGTACTGTTGTTGTCCACACAGACTTGAGTGTAGTGAAAGCTTGTCTTGCTTTTCCGATTCTTGCTTTGATAGCTTCATCAGTTCCGTCCGCTTGTAGTTGAAATGACGCTTCCCAAGTAAGTCCGTAGGTAAATGAGGCTGCTTCTTTCAGATTTCTCCCATTTTTGCTGTTTTTGTTGCTGTTGCTGCTGGCCAGGAATCCTCATCACCTCTTTTTTCTTTATGTTCACCTTGAGTCCTATCTTTTCTGGATGCTTCTTCTGCCAACTTGTTGCTTTTCACTTGCATATCTTCCAGTTTGTGGGAAATCAGACATATATCATCGGCGAAGTCCAGATCCTCCAACTTTTTTCGTGTGGGTCCATTTTATGCTTGTCTCCTCGTTGCTCGCTGTCTGTCGCATTATCCAGTCTACCGACCAAAATTAAGAAAGCATTGAAGATAATAGGCAGCCAGCTTGTCTTACTCCGGTCTTTACTTCGAAGGATTCCATCAGTTTCCCGTTCGAGATTACTTGGCATGCAGCAATGTCGTACAACTGTTGGATGAGGTGTATAATTGTTGGTGGCACCCAGTTTTAATGAAGCAGTTACCAAACCACCTCTCGATCGACGCCGCGCTGTCGAAGGCCTTTTCAAAGTCGATGAGGTTGAGATAGAGCGGTGACCATCATTCCAAGCTTTGTTCATTGTGAACTGTTGAAGTATGTTCAATTTTAAAAATCTTTCTTGCAAACTCCGTTCATCATTTCACTTGCACTTACTGTCTGCACCGTCCACTGAATGGATCCGTAAGGTGATGGCTGTGTAATTGATTTACCATACTATAACAGCCTTATGGAACATTATATGTCTAATTACTCAATCAGTCAATACACTAGCTGGACTACAAGCAATGGTAACAAAACTCAAATCAAAAACAAGCTCAGTTATTTAGGAATTTCTTCTGTTGAGTAGTATGTTTAAATGGGATAAAAAGTCAAGGTTGTTTAGGGATAAGATTTAAGAACTTATCTGGCCAGTATGGCTACACTACACACTCAGAGTATGTGTGTGTTAACATCACGAGGACTTCGGATTCTGACCAGATGCGTACCCATTAAAACAAAACTTGTAATAACTAAGACATCCGCCTACGGGCCAGGCGTTTATTTAATTAATATTCAGTTGATTCAGTTTGATCTATTTCTTTTAGCTATAGATGAATTTTAGTGCTATGGAAGGTGCACTGTAGGTCTTTTCGCTAATTATATTCTACAGATACATAATCAGACTGATTTATGCTTTCTTCAGTATTTCTTGAGTTTTTCTGGCAGATAATCAAAAATCTCACGTATTTAATGGGTGTAGAAAGCCAGGGAAACACTTGGTTAGCCAAATGTCTATTTTTCTGTACGCGAAGCTTATCAAGAAGACGTAACAAATACAAATAGCCAATCCGTATTACAATATCATAGTTGAATTTCGTATACTTAATACTAATAAATTCACCTGTTCGTGTGGAGCTAGTTATATAGGCCGCACAAAGCGCACACTTTCCAAAAGCATCTCTGAACATTATCCGGTATTGTTATAAAAGGGACAATGCAAGTCAATTAATAGCTCAATTCTCGAGCATTTGGTGAACTCAGGCCACGTAGCTCCATCAGAGTCGTCTTTCAAGATCATCTACAAAGTGAAGCCAAATGGTACAAAGGGCGTCAGTTTTCGACTTTTGTGTATGATGGAGGCTCTGGCAGTTCGTCAATACAACCCTGACCTCTGTATACAGAAAAAGTTTGTTCAGTCTCTTATTCTACCTTGGTCCTAACCTCTTCACTAATCGTTCCATGTAAAAAAATTTTAATGTTTTCTTTTCTTTTTTAATTTTACTATTAGTTTGCTTTTGCTTTATTAATTAATTCACTATTATCAATTTCATATGCTCCTTCTGTACATTTCACACCCTCTTCACACTTGTTAAACTGACACTCAAATACCACCTTTATTCTCACTCAAGAGCAATTTTAACCTTATCATATTTCCATCTTTGTGCCGTTGAGTACCACGTAATTTACAACTTTTAATTTTCACTTCTAAAGCCACTTCTGAGTAATTACATCAATAATGTCACCCCCTATTACTCAATAATAGACCACTATACATTTTTGGTAAGTATAAATACGACTGTACAGCCTCTGAAGATGATTTCGTCGATAAAGAAAATTTTCTTCGCTGAATTTGTCTTTAATTTTAATCAGACTCCATTGGCAGTATCTACCATTCTCATGTTAAGTGTATATATGATCAAAGTAATTCTGGCATGTGTTTTGCAAGTTTATTGTGAAATAATATCCTGGATTTGGGGTTTTCCAATGATTACTGTCTCCGAAAAGATATAGAAACTCTTTATATATATATATATATATATATTATTCCTTTAAATTCCCAGTGGAACGTAGGTCTTCAAGCTAGAGGCTTTAAGTTTCTGTACCAATGGTATTTATTTTAACGGGATGGGGCTGCTGGCCTTATGTCCAACCTTCCCTCTTTACCAGTCTTATTACTGGCTTAGTAAGGTAAGAAGTGCGTCGACCGGGGATCAAACCCCAGACCACATGCGTGGTCGGCGGGTATCCTGCCACTGTGCCAGTGACGGACGATACATATATGTATTTTTTTCTATTGTAGCCTAGGATTAGACGTTATTTTGTTTAGATTGACGCTCCCCATGGAGACATGAAAACAAGGGATTTAGCAGAGATAATTCTTTTCTCAACAATTTCATTTTGATAGCTGTACAATTGTGTACATATATTAATTACAGTACACAATATCAATCAGTTTTTCGCGTGTACGTGTTAGATATATGTATATGGCCCTTTAGCTAGCAACATTAAATGACTCGAGTGTCTTTATGATATGGTGCCAAATCGTTAATAATAGCAGGGATTTAACTGCAGCCACCAAAACAGACTCCAGGATCCAATCTTCGCGTTCTACTGTATAGCTAACCAAAACTGCCAGTAGTTAAGCAAGGTCCCAAAGCATCCTGACGGCAGAGAAAAAAAACATTAATTTGAGTTAAAATCTGTGGGAACAAAACTCGGTCAGCAAGAATCACAAATCAAACACTTTCAGCAGACTGTCCGAGGTCGAAGTCCCCATGGCCAACTTTGAATTCATTCAAACAAAGTCAAAATCGTAAAACGACACATCACTGACACCATCACACACCCAGAAGGAGAAGTCTTTATTATGTGTGGACTGCTAACCGATAATGAACTTGACTGGTACGCTAATACCTGTTACTTGTCCGCTGTACCTTCCGATTCATTGAGCCACGCAAATATCAAAAGACAAAGGCTGACTCGTGCCTGTAAAGTAATGAACTCTACATTTATTGGGAAAACGAAACATGATATGTATACATTTTTACCACAATAAAGTCGGCTCACAGACGTGATAAATGATTGATCGTACAATAGATCACAATTTGCATGAGAAAAGATAATACACTATTTTATGAAGGATCCTATCAGTCTTCAAACTAGCGATTACACAAGAAAAAAAGAAAATAATAAGGACTAAGTCAATAGATGATATGCAAACGTTAGGGCAGTGTGATATATAACCGAGGTGAAAAGAGGAAAATCATCACATAGTTAATTGAAATATCCACTTAGATCATTTAAGACTGATTTTCAAAACAATTATTCCTTGTTATCTGTCAGATTTTAAAGACCTCCACAAATGTATACTTAACGATTTCTGTGTCTATTAAAGTACCATTAGAAATCTGTTCTCCTATTTAGTATGCTTCCCTAAAATGTAGCTTAATGAAATTATGCACTTTAGCAATTAATAATGTTCTCTGAGCTGGTTGGTTTAGTTGCGGATCTTTCGTCGTCCTTCTGGACAACAACTTCAGCTCAATATTTAGCATAAAGTGAAATGATTCAAATTTCCTCATGAGTGATATAATTGCGTCTCCCATTAACCATCTTTACATATGTATTGACCATTTTCTATTGACTTGGATTTTAAACTTTCTGGTCACATGATTTACTTTTTATCAGTTGGTATATTTCGTCTATATTAGCGTGTTTGTTAATTGCATATTCGTTTGAGTACTAGGCTTCTAGGAATTCCCTGGCACTTTTGGTGTTTCCTCTGTCTTAGATTTCCACATTATCCCAATCAAACTGATGAATTCATCCTAACATACATGAGAAATATCTCTGAAATAACAGCTGGAATACTGAAACCGTTTGATATAGATATAGCACACAAGCCAGTCAAATCACTTTATTCGATATTGTGCAAACCAAAAGATCCAACAGAAAAAGGAGATAAAATTAAAACCATTTACAAAATAAATAGTGTGAACTGTAACAGGCATTACATCGGCCAAAGTGGGTGTCCCCTTCGAATCAGAATCCAGGAACACAAATCAGCCGTGAAAAGACATGATATAAATTTTTTCACATCAATGCATACAGAAAATTATGGACATCAGTTTGATTGGGATAATGTCGAAATCTTGGACAGAAGAAACACCAAAAGTGCCAGACAATTCCTAGAAGCTTGGTATTCAAATGAAAATGCAATTAACAAACACATTAAATATAGACCAAATAAACCAACTAATAAAAAGTAATATCCAAGTGTTGGGTTGTAGGGATTTGATTGGTTTACAGGATTTCATCATGATGAAATCCTGTAATAAAAAATAAATCAGGTGACCAGAAAGTTTAAAATCCAAGTCAGTAGAAAATGGTCAATACATATGTAAAGATGGTTAATGGGAGACACAATTCCATCACTCATGAGGAAATTTGAATCATTTCACTTTATGCTAAATATTGAGCTGAAGTTGTTGTCCAGAAGGACGACGAAAGATCCGCAACTAAACCAACCAGCTCAGAGAACACTAATAATTGCAAATCATCCACCTGAGCTACAAATCTTCTCTATTATTTCAATGCAGTTTAATATCGTGTGTCACGTTATTCAGTCAGTCGGATGGAGTTAATGAATCCATTGTCTTTGAAGACAGCTTAACTTCTTTGCAGTAAATAACAGCAATATATCTTAATAAATTTCTCTGTCTTCATATTGAAAATGCTTCATTTTCTCTTCTCTTTTTTTCGTTCTTCAGATTACATACAACTGAGAACGACTTACAGAATTTACAGCGCCAATTAGAAGATTATAAAATAAAATTAAAAGAGGCAACTGATGAAATTTCCTACTGTAAACGTATGCTAAATTTAAGTGAAAGAAGACATAGTTACCTGCCAAATATGGTATGATTAGTTTGTGTAACATATTTAAATGATTGTTGACTTCTATGAATAAATATAAATTATTTTCTGTATACATCGATCATCTATTTTCAAAGGTAATATAGGTTTACATAAGTTTTGAGTGTCTTGAAAATAAAAACACTGGGAACAGAATAATTACGGTATACTTAAGCATTCCCAGAATAAGTGAAAGCATTCTGCTATTACATAAATAAGTGTTTGAGTACTTTTTGTCTATTCAGAAAGTCAAATCAAGTATGTTTTGGTATGTTCAACATATTAACTATGAGGCATAAAGAACGTTTCTCCAACTGATATCAGCTCATGATGAAATCCTCCGACAAATCACACAAAATCCCTACAAAATTAATAACTGAACATTGATCTGATGCTCACTAGCGACTGGTCCTATTGTGGCGCTTACCTGGGGTTCTAGACAGAAGCCGTGACCAGTAGGATGCAGCAGGTTGCAGGTAAGGCTGTAACTCATCGAAGAAGATACTGAGAAGTGGTTGCACTATGTTCCGAATTGGCAGAACTCATAGGCTGGCCATTAAATCGGCTCTCAGTGGCTTAATGGTTAACGAACTCACTCGCATTTCAACCAGAAGGTCCTAGGTTAGAACCCCAGTAGGGTGGATGCGTACTGTTGAAGAGTCCCGAACTAGGACAAACCATCTGTCCAGTACTCCCTTCAGGTTTTCCAATAGTTCTCTAACTGATGTCGGCTCATAATAAAATTCTCCTACTGTAAAGAATTATCATCACTAATAGTCCCAATGGATGCAAATAATATAAGTGTATACTTTTTTATCAATAACCATTTCTGATTTCTAATGGAACGAAGGGCTTCAAACTGTGGATTTTCAGCAGCGGTAGTATTTGTTTTATGCCAAGGAGTGGCTAGCCATAAGGCCAACTTTTCTGCCTTTTAAAGCTTACTAGGTGAGAAGTTGTAGAAGTTGAACCCAGACTCCGTGTGTGGTTGGTGAGCATCCTGTCAGTGAATCACCAATGTAGAGCAAATATTTATACTCTTCTACTTTATTAGTTTTCAGATGGAGTTTACGGTGATATTTGTGACAGAAAATTATACGTTTGTTAGTGACACTAATGGTATGACTAACTTCTCTAAGCATTAAAGCAAATCTGTTTGTTCCTATATATATCTAGTGAGAAGATAAACACCCTTAAATTGAAATATAGGTTGTGTCAGGAGGACTTACACTGATATTTATCTTCATCTTTATGATTTAAAAAGTGCTGTTTCCGAAGTTTTGTTTCATTAATTGTTCACTTTCAATGTTCACTTCTCTTTTTTAATTGATAAAGCTCCAACAGTTTGGAGATCAGAAATCCAATTTACCCAAAAAGAAATTCGCCACACATGCACGTGCAATAACACTGTTTAAAAATGTAGCCAATAATAATAATAATAATAGGGATAATTCAAAACCATTAAAACAATCACAATTTACAGAAACAGAAGACAACCATAAAACTGTTTAATACTGACAGCTTCTCGTATTATTTCATGTTATCTTTTATATTTTAGAAACAGGAAGTTAAAATAAATAAATAAAATAAAAGTTAACAGACTTAAAAATTTTATTTCATTTTTATCAGTACTTGACTGAAAAATGTTTTCATGTTTATTCAGTGTATTGTCGACAGATCTGATTAAATATGCCAGCTTCTAACTGTCATTTACCATTTTTATATAAATTAAATTATTTGTTTCATAGATGTGGTTCACTAGCTTAAGTACTCAACTTTCACCTGCAATAGGGACATGGGTTCAAATCCTGTTCTGTTATCTCCTACTCCGGACAGCTAAATTATATCAAAAGGCCTCACATAGAAAATATGACTACCGGCCTAGTACCAGGTGACTTAATTATAGCTAGACAACGAAGAAGATTGACAAACAATTAATTATGGTGCTGCTATTTTCCTAGTTTTCTTATTGAAAAGCATTTCCGACAGATTACAGAATTTCATCAACAGCTGCCTATTTCTCCGACTTCATACTGAAGATCAAACGGCCAGCCGGGGAGGAAGAATTATTAACAAGAAACTCTAAGGACAAACCAATCTAGAACCTATTGCTCAACAAATATTTTGAGGAAAATGGAGACGCATTGGGAGATCGGTGAATGACATCACACGCCACGCCATCACTCCATTGGAACTCGAGTGGATTATGACGAGTTGGCCGTGAGTCTGAGGTTGGCATGGAGGAAATCGTGTGATGAGAAGGAGATGAGTGACTATGGGCAACCGTGGGGTCAGCTAAAGACGATCTCAGGAAATAGAGCAAAGTGGAGATGTTACAGGATTTCATCATGAGCTGACGTTAGTTAGAGAACCATTGGAAAACCTGGGAGTGCTAAACAGCTGTTTTGTCCCAGTTCGGGACTCTTCATCAGTACGCATCCAACAACGGGGTTCGAAAAAGGATCTTCTGGTTACAAGGCGAGCTCGTAAGCCATTAAGCCACTGGGACCCGATCCAATGGACCATGAATTCTAACTTCTGCCAATTTACGACTCACAGGTTTTCCAATGGTTCTCTAACTAATGTCAGGTCATGATGAAATCCTGTAACCAATCAAATCACTACAAACCAACACTTGAAAGTGGAGATGTTCTGTTGAAGCGCTATGTTCCACTCGGAACCCTAGGGAACAGTAATAATAATAATGATAATCCTATTGCTGATTTAACTTTGCCAATTGAGATGGGAGCTCGTGGACGCAGATAGTTTGGAATGGTTTCATTTCTTAGGTATTAAATATTGAAAGCCCGGTAAGATTAGCAAATCTTGCTTCAGTTTTTGAAAGTCGTATGAGTTTATTATTCGATCTTTGAACAAGAAGACCACAAATTAAACCAATGTATGTATGAAACTTTGCCAATGTGGTTGCATATTAATTACTTTATTGAATACATTACACAAAGAAACAGTATTATTTACTGGACAACGTTACGAGTATACTTTATCTATTGGTATGATGTATCCAATAAACAAATACCTATAGAATTACAGTACTTTTAGATAAGTTTATTAGTAAATGAGTAGTAATTTATACGTACTCTGATCAAGATTTGACCGAATATTTGCACAAAAATTGGGCACCGAGTGAAAAACAGATATATTTGATTGTTTACCTGAAGAAGTTGGAGTCAGCTTGTCAGATGGAACGTTTGAAGTATTCATTTCAATTTCTCTGAGATTTATAAAAAATAAATCGGCGTGTACAAGTAGAATAGGTAAAGCTGAAAGAGTTCTCTCTAAAGATAACACTTAATACGTTATTTTATCAGTTAATCCAAAAAACAGCGTCACACAGTAATTATGTCTTAAGGTGGACACAAATTTAATATATACGTTCTAGTATTTCAGAAGAAAAATGGTGCTCAGTTTTTGTATACAAAAGTTTTGGACATAAAAATTCAGCTGGAGGTCTGTTTTTTTTAATAATAATAATAATAATTTATTTTACATTATTCCAAAAACAGTACTTATAATACAGAATGGAATTCTCAGCATTTGTCACAATATTGCATCTGATTTACTCAAAATATAAATAAAATTAAAAATTAAAACAAAAGTAACTAGAAGAATTTGTCCACGCTTACGATATAAAGTGAAAAATATTCGAAGCACGAATTGAGGTCATTAAATATTAATAACAATAATAATAGTAATAGTAATAATAATAGTAATAATAATAACAGTGAGTTTGTTTCAAACAGTACTGTCGATTCAGTTTGAAAATTTTAGCATGTTACTATAGAATATTGAATCTAATGTTCTGTTGATGTTCACAATTATGAAAAATAAATAAATAAAAACAGAAAATTGATAGGATTATCAATATAAGAAATACAATAACAGTCAAGTTTAGTACTGTAAGGGTGGAAGAAATGGTTTATTTAGTAGTGCAAAGAAGGTTAGTTAGTTCATGCCTGACACTATTTTCATCACATAAAGTACGTGCCGCCAAATATGGTATAGTGGAATTTTTATACTTAGACGTACGTGCGTAAATTCTTCTAAAAAGACTCCTTGTTTTACCTGAGGAGACACAAGGTTGGAGCTGCGGGAAAGGGGGTGCTCAGAGTCTGACAAAATTCCTTTAGCAAATTTGTTGCATGACATCAAGTGCCTGTCAGTGACAATGTCAACGATATGGCCCAATGGGATACCACTCGTCCTACTGACAGTCTTCAGAGTTCTACGTAGTATGACATAGTCTTTTTTAAGCAATCCAGGAAAGAATAAGGGTGAACAGTAAAGAAGAATAGGTAAAATACACGAATTGACAAACTGTAAGAGGAGGGGTTGGGTTATGCCTGAGTGCCTCAACTTCTTAATGTAAAAAGTCAGACGAAATATTCTTTTAGAAATCGCTAAGACATGGGAAGACCAGGATAGGTCAGAAGAAAGAATTAATCCAAGATACTTAACTTCAGACTTGATTTCTATATCAGTGTCATCAATTTTGCAAGGGTCATAGGAACCAACAGCTTCATTTAACTTTCGTTTACATCGGAAACTGAAATTAACAGTCTGGCATTTGGAAGGATTTATTTTAAGGCCGTTACACGAAGACCATTTGCTAATTCCTGATAGAAAGCTGTTCATCTTAGCACAGTCAAGCTGGGAGTTAACAGACGTTGAAATGGTTAGATCATCGGCATACTTAACAAAGTTCATTTCATCAGAGTGAGGCAAATCATGCAAAAAGAAAGAAAACAGAAAATGAGAAAGGACAGTACCTTGAGGGGCACCAGCCTCAGTAAGCAATGAAGTGGACGACTTTCCCTGACATATGGTGTACTGCTTTCTTCCTGAGAAATAAGAATGCAGCCATTTGACAACCCAACAGTCAGTTTGAGTTTCAGCAAGCTTGTTTAACAAAACGTCCCTAGGTACTGAGTCGAAAGCAGATGTGTAATCTAGGAAGGTGCAGCGAACAAATTTAGCCTTTCTTGTCTAAGCTGGAGAAAAGTGGTACAAGACTGCAACTGCATCTAAAGTACTTCTGCTGTGTTTATAAACGAATTGTTTAGGATCGTTAAAGGCTTTAAGTGAAGGTTGAAGATTAAGTAAGAGTAACTTTTCCATAACTTTTAGAAAAGGAGACGTAATAGCAATAGGTCTAAATTTAAAACATGTTCCAGTAGACGACTTAGGGATAGGTACAATTTTGATGTCCTTCCAAACGGTTGGCACGACATTTCTGGAGAAAGATTCGTTAAATATGTCCATAAGAGGATAACACAGGATGCCTGCACATTTTTTAAGAATAACACTAGGCAAACCGTCTGGGCCCAGGCTGCAAGAAGGGTTCAAAGACTGGAGACATTTTTGAACATCATTTGTATTGAAACCAGGGAAGCAGGTTTCATTAACACTTGTAACACTAGAAAGTTTGGCATTTGTGGGCGAATATATGAAAGACTTTTTTAGTGTGCAAACATCATAGGAATAAGGAATACTATTCATCTGCTTACCACCAGTAATTTTTTTAAAAAGTTTCCATATATTAGACGCATTTTTACACGATATAAACTTCTGGTTGTAAATTGAATTCAACCTGTGCATTTCACATTTTATTAGGATATTAATTCTTTTCAAACCAGTACTGTCCTTCATTTTATATAGCTTTTCTTTTTGTCTGCGAAGCATTTTAAGTCGAGGGGAGGAGAAACGGTCAAATCTGATGAAGAGCGTTTCTCTGGGACAACAGGTGTCAAGACAAAATTTGAGATAACTTGTAATATTAGAGATTGTGTCATCAAGAGAATCTTCATTAAACAGGTCCCACCTTGTGTCTTATTTTTTCTTATTTAATAAATGCATATTATTGGGTTGCGAGTGGAACATAGGGCTTCAACAACACGTCTGAACTTTCTTCTGTTTTCTGCTGTCCTCTTCAGTTGAGTCCACGTTTGCCACTAATCTCTCATCTCCTCCTCGGCACACAATCTCCTCCGTTTCAACCTCAGATTCATGCCCATTCGTTGTTTCCTATTCGGATTCCATTCGAGAGTCTACCTGGTGCGCGATGTCATTCAGTGGTATCCTGAGTGTATGCCCATTACATCTGCATCTTCTTCTTCATATTTGTTGAGCAGTCGACTCTTGGTTGGTTTATTGTCAAAGTTTCATTTTGCTAATTCTTTCTGATTAACTATCTGATCTTCATTATGAAGCGAAGGTGGTTGTTGATAAAAGTCTGTAACCTGTTGGAAATGCTTTACGTGAGCCACTCGTATAGAAAAACTGTCTTCACATTTGTGTTGAAAATCCGTATCTTGTTCTTTATGCTGACTGAGAGCGGAAGAATTCCAATATTAACTAGATAGGTCATATGAAAATGGTGTTCAGCTATAACATTGATCACACGTCAAACAATTACCAGAAGTATATATAGTAAGCAGAAAAGTTTATCAGCAGAAAATAGGATACCCTTGTATTTCAGTGATTCTTTAAAATAAATAAGATTTAGATTTTTTTTAACGTCTGTGTTCGATTATTTGAAGTATTTCACTGAAAATGGAGAAAAATACCCTCGGTAGCTTGTAA